TACATGCACAATATACACTATACAGCGGACGGATAGAAAGGTGCGGGTAGGTTTCAACATGACAAAAAGTTCGCCTAATCGTAGTTGGGCGCAGCACTCACTCTCAAAAATGTATGGTGAAAAATTAAAATCAGTAAGTAATTAAATAATCAGATATTTTTTCATGCAATGTACCTTTAGCGTAATTATTTGTTCGGATTACTTGACCTGGATGGAAATCCACCCACTGTGCGCCAAAACCTTCGGAATCGTTATCAAGTGGATCAAAACTTGCTTGGCCACCATCTCCTCTAATAGCTACCGTGTCGACGGATATACACTACCAACTACAATTGAACTTGCTAGGGCAGTGATCGACGAATTGCGAACAGGCGAACAGGTTGAGTGTGGCCTAGAATGCATGTAAAGTGAAAACTGGAAGCATTTGCGAGTGTTCCATAAACTTATACCTCTAAACACTGTGAAACGTGGACATTTTAGTGTATACCACCATACGAGGTGTTACGATACGCAATTTCCCTGGAAAGGACACGATTCCGTACAATGTCGATAGTCAATTTCATCCCTAATAACACGATCTTGTGAACAATATTACAGTCCACAAGTCGTCCCCCCCCCTGTATCTTTGTATTTAGAATGGTTTCATCGCTCTCTAGAATGGAGACGCTCAGCTTACAAGGCGCTCAGTTCTTTTTTCTTCTTCCGCCATTTCGGCACAAGATTGGTGTAGGTTAACTCTGAGATGTCACACCTCAAAGCGATATCGGTCACCTCATACAGCTTTCTTGAAACTAGCGGTAATAAGTTTCAGGCTTGAGTTTAATTCTTCTGTCTAATGTTTGGATAATAAGGCCTCGCGGCCATAGGGGCAGCGTCACAGCCCGTATTGCCATTGGGGTTAATAATCTGCAAAAAAAAACACGCAATCGGTGTATACAGAGTTGTGCATCACGATAACGTCGTGATGTCCACGATTCTGTATTGATTTGTCTCGCATTTTCTTCGGTTGGCTCGATGATTACCGGTCATAAGGCGCTGTATTAGTAGCGTAAACTGCTTGCTTGGTCTCATATGGAAGTTTTATGTCGAAGGTAAATTCCACGTCGTATTGATAAAGTTGCGCTGAATTGATTGGCAACACCAGGTTAAGAGCACTACCGACCATTTAAAACGCCATCGATACTAGTGACTTCCGGGTGGCTCTTTAGCAGGCCAACGCCAGGCAGTACATCTTATACAGTTGTACAGCGCGTAATGACAGCATAAAACGATCTTCCTGTCTTATAATAAGTACGTTGTCATGACCTGTCTCCGTATTTTTGTCGCGGTCCTTAAGGGATAAGGGCAATGACGCCTAGCAAACCAAAAGCATGAAAGTAAAACTGTTGGTGCAGTAATATCTATCGGATGTAATGATAAATAAAATATAAATTGTACACTACAAATACATGTAACAATGTGTTGAGCTTTGTAGGATCCTTACTCCGAGTATATCACCCCCCCCCC